AGTTTATTGACGTTAAGAAACAACTTAGGTCCATAGAAGAAAGAGATATTAGGAAAAAAGCAATACAACCGAGGTCTGAGAACGTACCAAGTAAATAAACTGCCACGAAACTAAGAAGTTACTTTGATGGACAGACATATCCCAGTAACGTAAGGATGTCCGGTAGATAATGAAGTAAGGCTATACCGAGCTTTTAATTAAGGCCAGTTTCATATTACGCCACCGTTAGGTACTAAATGTATATGCCACAGTTCAACTTTGCTGTTATCCATTTCGAAACACAGGTAAGTTTGTGCATTATCATAACCTTGATATCGACTGGCTATTGCTATTATGATTGTAGTGAGGAGAGTGAAGAGATCTGCCAAGTTTATTTGTTAACGTGGACGGTTAGTAGAAGACTGACTCAACGGACAACTGAGTCGTGTTATTTTATTTCGCTCCGAAATAAACCGCACACATTCAACCATGGAAGTTAGTAGTACTTCATCAGACTGATTTCTTCTAGTGAAACAAAAGTCAACAGTTGTGGGTTCTCCATAAGATGTTAAGACCCTATCTATGCGCTTATGGTAAATGCAGTGTTTGGAGTCCTGCGTACACATTTGCAGAGCAAAATATATCTTGTGATGTCAGGAGAAAACCTAGTATTGTGTATTTACGGGGACAAATAATTCAAGTTTCTAGGCACAAAGATAATCCTGTGCAAGTATCCAACAGTTTATTCACACTTTTAGTGTCTTTCAAACGATATAACACTTAGTTCTAGTTGAGACACTGAAGAACAACACTATTGTGTGACGACAATAGAAGATAGTTTAGCAGACAAAGCTATGAATTTTTACGTTTAACCTTTATTTAATGCGAACGTGGATTAACAAATAATACAAGAAAAATATGATTTTGATGGCTGGTCATAAGACGGGAAACTTCAGCAGTTCAAAATATCTTTTAGTATTTTAACAGTACTCCTACACGCCACCTGTTTCAGCGTTCAGTAAGAAGTGACATAGAAACATTTTGGTGCGAAGAAAACAGTTCATAACTTAAAAGCCCGATAAGAATATAAACAATAGACCCAAGAAGATTATCACATCCTCGTACAGACCCTACATATTAATATAGGACAAACTGGTACCTTGTCATTCAAAGATCGAATTGCGACACAACGGATCATCGTCGAACAATCAGTTCAGTAGAACTCGTCATTATACATCAATTTCATTGACTATGAAAACGGTTGACAAAATGGACAGGAGAATAATATAGAAACATCTCCGACACTATGTCAACATTACCCAGAACTCATACGATGAACTATAGTGCAAAGTCGTGCATGCAGGCGGCTGACGATACATTCCCAACAAGAACCGGAGTCAGACAAGACTCTCCCTCTCCTTTCTTCTGGTGATCGAATCTATTATGAAGATCAAATCTGAGGGAAAGCACGTAATACAATGGATAGCTCCGAGTCAATTAGACGATTTGGACATCTCAGATGACCTGGCCCTTCTATCGCAACTACACGAACAAATGGAGATGAAAACAACTAGTGTAGCAGACTCTGCATCAGTAAGCCTCGGTACATACAACGGAAAAAGCAAGATCCTCAAATATAACACGGAGCACACCAACCCAACCACATTTGATGGAAAAGCTCTGGGAGATATGAAATCTTTCACGTGCCTGAGAAGCATTATCGATGAACAAGGATTGGATATGGGTGTGAAGGTGAGGATTGGCAAAACAAGGACAGAATTCCTACAGGTGAACAACATATGCAACTCAGAACAACTGTACACTAATTTCAAGGTCAAGATCTTCAAAACGAACGTCAGAACAGTTTTACTGTAGGGTGGTGAAACTAAGAGAACTACCACAACCATGTACAAGTATTTCTGAAGAATTCTGTTTGAAATATATTGAATGTCCTTTGACCGAGTAGCATGAGAAACAGCTTTCTGTGGGAAATAAACGACTGAGCTTGAAGTTGAAGATGAAATTGGGAGAAGATTTAAGAGGTGGATAGGACATGCATTACGGAAAGAAATAATCAAACTGCATGATGAGGCAAGCGCTAACTTAGTATCCTGAAAGGAAAACGAGAAGGCTGAAGAACACACTACATCAGAAATCGGAAGCAGTCACGAATAGGGTGAACAGCAACTGCGGGCACTGCGGTCACGCTCTCAGGTCACTAAGACCACCTCTAATCCAATTTCCTTTTCAGGTACCTCCAGAAGAACACTTCCACGGTGTGGGCGACCGGCAACTGATGACCACCCCCATACCTCTAACAGCACTCAAGACAACTGTGTTCATATTGAACCCTCCTCTTCAATTTATTTAATTCCTCCTACATCGACTTTCAACTTTCAACTTCCTCTTCAAGTGTTATCATGGTCAACGATTCTAGTACGCAAAAAACTGTCCTAGGTCTACTGAATCTTCGCTCAAAAATATACATTGAAGCCTTCAACGTACGCACGCTATGTTAAATCGGTCAGCATGTTTCCTTGTGAAAAACCCTAGAATCTCTCGCCATTGATGTGTATTGTGTCTCCGGAACACACATACAGGATCCTAGCGTAGTCATTCACTTGACCTCAACTCAGCAAGACGGAGAGCCGACGAGAAACACCCTACGTATATCTGGTGAACTGATGGCTAGTTATCGTGGACTGGCAGGTGTAGGCATAGCACTAAGTATGAAGATAGAACAAGCACTGTTTGAGTGGATCGATTTCTTCAATGTCTATTACACTGATGGATTCTCGCGAACGCATCCCATCAGGTTCTGAACACGACGAAGAGAGTAAAACAATCAGATCTAGGTTAACCAAAAGTCTAAGTAACGACCGTAAGCAGTGGTGGGCAACGAAAGCAAAAGAGATGGAAAAGGTGGAGGCTATAGGGAACACACAAGTGTTGGTCAGACTATTTCAGAAAAAAACGACACCCTCATCTGCTTCCAGTCCAGAAGCTTAGGACGATGGGCGGAACACTTTAAGGAGCAGTACAGCTGGCCTTCAGCTACCCACCATTCCCAAACAGCCTGAATAGGACGTTGAAGTAGGCCACATGAACCTAACGGAAGTTCAAAAGGCTATAGTTAATCTGAAATGAGGAAGAGCAGCTGGTGCAGATGGATTGGCTCCAGAGGTCTCTAAGGATGAAGGTCCAATTTTAGCGATTAGGTTGACGAATATTTTAGCTAAAACCTGGGAGTTGGACGTAATCCCATCTGACTGGTCACAATCACTTATCGTCCAAATATATAAGAGAGGGTCAAAATCATCCTGTGACAACCATAGAGGTATTAGTTTGAATAACATAGCATCTAAAATGCTAACATCAATAATTATCAGACGCCTGACAAAGACTGAACTGCAAACACGAGAAAATCAGGCTGGCTTCAGACCTGGTCGTGGCTGCATTGACCATATATTCATCATTCGTCAGATTTCAGAACACAGGCATGCTTATCAACGTTCGACAATAATGGTCTTTCTTGACTTGAAAGCAGCATTCGACTCGGTAGACCGAGAGGCTCTGTGGCAGTGTCTATCGTTGAAAGGTGTACCTCAGAAGTACATAAACCTTGTGAGGGCTATTTGCTCGAACACAACCAGTCAAGTCAGAGCTTATGGTGAGCTGTCGTCTGATTTTGCAACCTCAAATGGTGTCTGTCAACGCTGTCCACTTTCTCCATTTTTGTTTAACTTCATCATAAACATACTGATAGAAATAACGCTCTCATTGACTGAATTCTCGGGTATTGATCTCCTACCAGGAGGTCCACTTATCGACCTAGAATAAGCAGATGACATAGATCTGCTTGATGAAGACGCTGATAAAATGCAGTCTTTTGGTAGCACTGAGCAACAATACCAGGATATTTGGGATGCGTTTCTTCTCTTCTAAATGCAAATTGTTGCTTCAGAACTGTCCTGAGCCAACACCTGAACTACGAATAGGGAGTGAACTGGTCGAACGCGTCGACAACTTCTCTTATATTGGAATTCTGATCAACCCTAATAAGTTGGTGTCTGACGAAATCTCTTCACGAATTCAGAAAGCTCGTCTGTCTTTTGTCAACTTACGTCACCTATGGAGAAGGCAAGATACTCGTTTATCAATAAAAGGACGAGTATACTGTATGGCAGTTCTTTCTGTTTTACTTTGTGGCTGCGGAACGCCGCCATTAAGAGCAGAAGATACTCGTAAGCTACTAGTATTTGACCACAGATGCCTTAGAAATATTGCTGGCATCACAGGGTAAGTAAAGTGAGGTTAGACGTAGGGTATTAGGGAATGATGGTAAGTCATTTGATATGGTTGTGAATCTTCACCGACTGAGGTAGTTGGACCACGTGTTTCGTAAGCCCGACCACCACGACGTGTAATGCTAACCGGTGTTAGGGATGATTGGGAAATTGTTAGGGGCGGCCAAACCAAAACATAGCATCAGTTCTAAGTCCTAGTCTGAGCTATGTTGGTAGATGCAGACTTCTGGGTTGCGTCCCTGTAACTATCGTAACCAATAGTTAAAGACTCTTGGTGAAATGGCCCAGAAACAATCGCAATGACGTAGGTGTATCAATCCTCTGTCTTCCATTAAACTATGAGATTAAAATCGCTTCATATCTTTCTTTCTACGTACTAATTCTTTCTTCCCGTACTATGTCATTATATGCAATCTCCCTTTTGTATATTCCCACCATTGACTTAACTACTCCTATGAATCTGGTGTTCATCTTGCTGTGGTAATGCGGTATGGCAACTTGGACCGATACATATGTGCCTTGTCCTACGCTGTAGCTGACTGACTGACAGGCGTAAGTTGTTATTCTGAAAATGTTCATATGCTTCAGGGTTATCGAAGACTGAGTGTGGCTTATTTAATTTAGTAATTCGTACACGCTAAATAGCACACGATGATGGGAACAATGAACTGAAAATATGAGATATCCAACCAAAGTTGCAGTGAAGAGTGGGTATAAGGATTTGAATTTATTTTACTGCGATGTGAATATACATTCATTGGGACAAAAAGCAAACTGCATAGTAAACAACTTTTTGTGACCAAAATTAAAACTGAAGTGAGTAACTGGAGAGGTAAAGAATTATTTGTTAACTGAAGAACAAGAATAAGATGAGGGGATGGGATATTGTCCGGAAAAAACGTCTAAATGTCATTACTTCACTTGATTCACCGAGAATGAACAGGTTAACATACATTGTAATCATGCATAAACTCATAAAAATATGAGTGACTGCATAAGTCGAAGCGATGTGGTTAGGTTGAAAGGAAGTGGAACTACAAAAAGAAAAGGCAAAGACGTTTATTCAATATCCATCAGATCTTGATCCTGAAGATTAGAAGATGAGTTTGCGTTGCCAGGGCGACTATCTTGCATACAACCTTTAGTTATATAATGTGAAGATAAAGCACCGTTTGAAAGACCATTTTCATCTGTTTCAGACGAAGAATCTTCTTCCTCGTCATTTTTGTTGATCACGCTGTATATTTGCGTAGAGCCAACTTTGCGGCGTACATAAACTAACACATATGCTGCACTAGTCTACAAGAAAAGATATACAAACCATCAAACAAATTACATACTCGATGCTAAATTGTACGTATTGTAGACTAATGACATTAAAATAGATAAAAAGAATTGATTTCTTTATAAAACAAATGTAATTTATTGTTTACATGGTACTAGGCCATCAAATGAAGAATTGTATTGTTTTACTGTTTAATAAATTGAGGAGATTCAACCCTAGAATATGATGACCAAAACATTATATACATTAAATATTCTTAATGCAAATAATACAGGCAAAAAACCCAGTAGTAACAACAAAACTTAATTGAAACGAAAACTTTAAGAAAAACACATACAACTTACTACAATTTTAGAAGGATCACATTCTCGTGTTGAAGAATCATCGAAAAAGTACCATCGATTAGTGTGAGCGTTTAAAGCAAATGCTGTGTAATGACCACCACCCAAATATCCCATATGATTGCTTACAGCTACTAAGTCATAGATAAATTTCTCGTCTGGTTTCTTTTCAAGTACACGTGAAGTCAAATTTAGGCCACTAGTGTATTTGTTTAATTAGATTTTAATAAAGTAGAAATGCAATTGAAAAAAAGAATAAAACTTTTAGAAAAATTTATCCAAGATAATTTTCAGAATCATGTGAACAACTAATAATAATCATACACTGTAATAAACTTCAAGAAATAAACACCAGATAAACAATATGAAATCAACTATTTTATTCATACTCAACACTTATGTGAATGAGAAGAGTGAAAGTAGTAAATAATTAGAGAGATCCCCTGAAGAACAATGCAAAGAAATACAAAAGTGTATTATAAGAATTCCAATTGAATTCTAGAATGAAAACACAATATAAAACAATTAATATTTGTCAAATGATATAAATATATGAATGGTTCTAATCTATAATGATTTAGAAAATAAATATACTGTAATTCATATGAATTAGTTCAAATTATGCCTAAACTTTACAGTTAAACTGTATTATGGTGGTAATATATAAAAGAAACATTGCATTTAAGGATATAGTACATGGAGAAAGATATGTTAGTCTCTTAGTTTAAGGGAAGATAGAGAGTGTATACACCTACGTCATTGTGATCGATTCTGAGCCATGTCATCAAGAGTCTCTAACTATTGGTTAAGGTAGTCACGCGGACGCCAACCAAGTAATCTGCATCTACCAATATGGCTCAGACACGTAGTGACTTCAAGCACTGATGCCATGTTTTGGTTTGGTCGCCCCTAAGTACCTTCCAACCATGAATGAACATGTAAATAAATAGAGCTTGGAAAAAATGAATAAAACTACAAAAAAATAGTTCAAAATAAATACGTTTTTTGTTATATCCCACAATTTCGGTTATTTATTTACTCTGAAGAGGCTTATATTAAGTCGTAAAATGTCAGAAATACAATTTTTATACTCATTGGGATATAAGAAAAATATACTTATTATTAACTTTCTATACCATGGTCAATTTATTTGAAACTATCAAGTTCAACATTGGCATTGGTACCTATATACGAAATAACAGGTTTGTAAGACAAAAATTTAAAATAATGTGTTCCAAGAACGTTAAATTTGAATAGACTTCCGAGAAATAAATAAGAGAAACATTCAAATGTGGTTTCTTCAACTAGGCTTGAGATAAAGTTAATTAAAATTGAAGTAGCCACTATACCTATTACATGAGAATTACACATCCTATGTGTGCTACTTATGTTGACATAAGTAGTATATAACCCTAATTAAAAATAGAATGTCTGGTAGAAGAAGGTTCAGAAGATCGAGGAGGGAAGAACGGGAATAGAAAGCAATCGGTATGGAAATACAGGAACAATGAAGTCTGAGACAATTAATGAACATTTAGCAAATGAAGTATTGGAATATGGTTTTTCTATTGTATCAAGTATCTCTGTAAATCTGTGCTAAACATAATAATCGGTTGTCCTCACCTGTGTTCTCCTTTACTACAATACACCCTTAATTATTAAAGGAAGAGAACACAATGTAAGGTACACAAGTGTAAGTAACCACAACTTGAATAACACTAGAAACTCACAATAAAATTAACTTACGTTAATGGGAATTCCAGTAAAGTATCGATTTTATCATGAAATCGTAAATGAGATCGGAAACGCTTTAATTGTACTACAAGAACATCAGGAAGTTTCCATAAATCAAATTTCTTTGTAGCTGGTTTCTCTGCTTTGCAACGACTACAGTACCATAGATCTCTTGAGCCTAATTGTTCTATATCAGTAAAGCGTTCGAAACAATCTGAAAGTTTTAGGGTTTCATTAAGTCGTGTGACAGGATGTTGTTGTATATGACTTCGAATGTCATTGAGTCTACGTCGTATTTCTAAACTTTGGCAGTCTAAAATGATACTATAAACGTCAGAACCTAGAGAGGAAATAGAATTTGAAAAATTATAAATATTACAGCGTTGTTTTAGAAAAACTTTATTAAAAAGGAATAAAATAAATAGATCTACACCAAATTGATTAAAAAATATGATTAGATGGTAGAAATTGTGCTACATTATATCGTTACATATGACTATTGACATTTCAGTGGTAAAAACAACTCACATACTCGTATCAACTGTGAGTAATCTTTCAATAATGATCACACAAACTTTCTAGGTGATGTACATAACAGGGGACGGAAAAGCTATAACAATAAAACATTTTAAGTAATCCTGCTGTGCAGGAAAGGCTATAAATAATAACTAGCCAAAGCAAGCAGTTCAAATTATCGGCTAGATCACTAAATACAAACAAACAATTCACAAAATTAATAGTGAAGGAAAAATACCACAACCATTGCTGGTATATATATGATTGTAACGTGGAAAACAAAAGCAGATGTTACATTATCACATGATTCTCATGAAACGGAAAAACAAGATAGGACTCATACAGTTGCAGATTGATTTTAAAGTAAGAAATTATAAATCTAACTATTTGATCAACTCAATTTTTAACCTAGCACTAAACTAGTTAACATGGTTGTTACGTTTTTACTTACGTATTCTTTGACTACTACTGAACGTCACTAGACCTGACACAGACTATAAAAATGAACTACGATCAAGATATATTCTAAAGAACATAAACATCAAACAATACGCAGTAAACAAGAGTGCATAAAATACATTTGAGAAACCATATAGTACATTCCTGATGCATTTCAAACTTACTACTCTTCAAAATAGTTAAGATATTTCAGATAAAGTTATATATAGATCACTTAAAAAGTAACAATTCTGCAAAGTAACCAAAACTGAAAAACGTGGGAGATCTTAATAAATGACATGATAAAAAGACATAAATCACAGTGAATTGGAATGATCCCTGAAGGATGCTGTAATATATGAAGTTTGAAAAGAACATACTAAACATAATGCTAAACGTTGACTTTCACAAATAGGTTAATAAATCTTAACCTAGCACTAAACTAGTTAACATGGTTGTTACGTTTTTACTTACGTATTCTTTGACTACTACTGAACGTCACTAGACCTGACACAGACTATAAAAATGAACTACGATCAAGATATATTCTAAAGAACATAAACATCAAACAATACGCAGTAAACAAGAGTGCATAAAATACATTTGAGAAACCATATAGTACATTCCTGATGCATTTCAAACTTACTACTCTTCAAAATAGTTAAGATATTTCAGATAAAGTTATATATAGATCACTTAAAAAGTAACAATTCTGCAAAGTAACCAAAACTGAAAAACGTGGGAGATCTTAATAAATGACATGATAAAAAGACATAAATCACAGTGAATTGGAATGATCCCTGAAGGATGCTGTAATATATGAAGTTTGAAAAGAACATACTAAACATAATGCTAAACGTTGACTTTCACAAATAGGTTAATAAATCTTAAAATTAGCTAGTATAGAGCACTAATGTATCTATTCCTTTACTTCGTATGCATCAAAAATGTGTACAAACAACCCACAACATAGTCTGAATATTAAGTCAAGGTTATTTAAACTTGAATAAAAATGTTGATTATGATATTCGAAATAGTGAGAAGAAAAATAAATAACGCTGGTTATTACAAACTGATACACTACAATTAGTGAGTAGATGTAACATTTATCAAAAATGATGTCCCAGAAAATCTAAAATATCCACATATATTTCAATTATGAAAACAGACTACATAAAATGTTATGTAATTCTTGTATTGCTTTTCACAATCCATGTAGAGTAAATCTGAGTTTAAGCACAGTACTAATGGTATGGCCGAGAGTGGGGTGGGTTCGCCCTCCCTCTCGAAATACTCTCACATGACCATGCGTATACAGCCTCTGCCAGGGAAGTCCTACTCACTGCCTTCTCGTGGCAGGGGTTTTGTTTACGAAAATGAGAGGACGAAAAGCGAACGTCCGGCGCTATAACCGGATCCCCAATCAATGGTGTACATAGACTCCAATATCCTGCGGGAACAAACGGCGTATGAACCAATTTCTTGGTCACCGGCTTCCATGGGACTGCATCTCCTCACGACGCTCCACTGCCTTGTGGGTTAGACCTTTAGGTCGAAAACTCGGGGTGTGGCCCCCTAAGAAAACCACCTGCTTCGGTCTGGGCACCCGGGCAGTATCACAGCCCACACACAAATATGATGAAAATGATGATGTTCTCTGAAAACTCTATTCATGCCGCGATTTACCGTCAGACATTTCACATTATTATTATTATTGTTATTACTATTATTATTTACCACGTCATTTATTCACTCTCTTTTATTTCCACTCTGTCTATCCTTATTTTTCGACTATGGTGGACTTTCGGCTTTATCTAAACGTTCTCGAGTCACTGCCTGGTTGAAAATTGTATGTTACCACCGAATACGAGTACTGAAGCAGTTTTTCTGAAACCACGTGCACCATTCAAACTGGCTGCCTTCAACGTTCGCACACTTATACAGGTCGAACAACAGATAGGGCTGGCTATGTCTTTAGAAAGTCTTAATGTTGACGTTTATTGTCTATTCGAGACCCGTATTCAAGACTCTAGTGAACTACTACAAGTTCGCTCTCCATCTGTCACTTCAAAAAGCTTGTTTTATGTGCGTTCACCCGGAGACCCTGTGGCATCTTCGTCTGGTCTTGCTGGCGTTGGTGTCGCACTAAGCGCTAGAGCTGAGGCAGCACTAATCGACTGGATCCCCATTAACAGTCGGTTATGTGCTGTTAGATCGGAAAGTTCTATCAAAGTGAGAAGAAATCGGCGTGAGAAACGATGTATTTTCGTCATCTCCGCCTGTGCCCCGACAGATTGCAGCCCGGATGCAATCTAGGATGACTTCTACCACCAGTTAACTGTTCTTCTCCAGAAAGTGCATTCGACAGATATTGTAGTACTAGCCGGAGACTTGAATGCTCAGGTCGGGCGTCTAGGCACAGAAGAGAGTCGTTTAGGTGGCCGATGGGGACTTGTTGGTCGCAGAACAGATAACGGGGAACGTCTACTGCAACTATGCACAGACCACAACCTGTTTCTGGCTAGCACTAACTTTCGGCACAGTCATCGCCGATGTGCCACCTGCTGTCCCCCTTCTGCATCTCAAGCCTGGACTCAGATTGGTCACATCGCGATCAGCTACCGCTGGCGCGGTTGTGTACAAGACTGCCGCTCCTTTTGGAGTATCTATCTGGAATCTGATCATGCCCTGGTCTGCGCCAATCTTACCTTACTTTTCAGTGGACAACAAAGTGACCGCCACCAAAGGATTGATGTTAGCAAGCTGGCTGCAACTTCTGTTGCTAGTAAGTACCGAACCGAGCTAGCTTCTAAGCTATCTACCATTCCACCGAAAAGTATAGATGAGCATTGGTTTCAATTGCATGACGCCATGAAAATGGCGGGTCAAGTCTGTTGTGGGTTCGCGAAACGTCCCGCTTACAAGCACCAGGTTTCTTCTGGTTCCTTACAACTGATTGAAGCCCGTCGGTCTACTCAGGGTGACCGTGAGTTTGACCACAGACGAAGGATGTTACGTAATGAAATCGGGCAAAGCTTGCGTAAGGACCGTGAAGCCTGGTGGTCGGAGCGTGCTAATGAGCTGGAAGCAGCAGCTGCATCTGGTAATTACCGGAAGCTCTTCCAACTCATCCGAGCCACTGGCAGCAAGAAGTCTGGTGTGAGCGAAACAATCTGCGAGGATGACGGAACGCTAATCACTAACATCCACGACGTCTTGGACGATGGGCACAACTTTTCGAAGGGCAGTTCAACTGGCCTACTGCTCCGGCAACATCGGTCAGACTGTCCTGCCCTCCATGGCCGGTGACGACTGATCCACCAAATGAGGCGGAAGTCCGCAAGGAACTCCAACTCTTGAAACGTTACAAATCACCGGGCCCAGACGACTTACCTCCGGCTCTTTTTAAAGATGGTGGTGACTTTCTGACTAAGGGACTGACGACGTTGTTTACAAAGATCTGGGAACTAGAGAGTGTACCAACGTCATGGAATGAGTCGATAGTTGTCCCTATCTTTAAAAAGGGTTCACGTCGTTCCTGTAACAACTATCGGGAGATAAGTCTACTTCCGATTGAGTCCAAGCTATTGGCTTCCGTCATACTTCGTAGGTTGTTCAGAACCCGAGAAGGATTGACTCGCGAGGATCAGGTTGAGTTTCGTTCTGGTCGAGGATGTATTGATCATATCTTCACCCTCCGCCAAGTGTTAGAACACCGCCATACTTATCAAAGGCCAACAATCGTAGTGTTTCTTGACATCAGGGCTGCCTTCGATTCGTTGGGTAGGACTGTTCTCTGGGATTGTCTATTGAAGAAGGGTGTGCCTGAGAAGTTTATGAGCATCCTAAAAGCCTTATATACAAACACCTCAGGCAGAGTGAGGGCATACAACCACCTTTCTCCATTATACCATTCGAGCAGTGGGGTTAAGCAGGGTTGCCCAATCTCACCATTCCTCTTCAACTTTGCCATCGATGACATTCTGGAAACAGCTCTGATGGATGTAAGTAATGGTGGTGTGGATCTGTTGCCTGGAAAAAGACTTCTCGATCTTGAGTATGCGGATGATATTGTTTTACTGTGCGAGAATGTTCAAGCCATGCAATCCGCACTTAATCAGTTGGCAATCAATGTCCGTAGGTATGGTATGTGCTTTACACCTTCTAAGTGCAAAGTACTTCTACAAGATTGGCAGAATTCTAATCCTGTACTCACTCTGGACGGTGAGCAGATAGAAGTAGTCGAGAAGTTCGTGTATCTAGGTAGCTGCATAATTGCTGGTGGTGGTGTGAGTGATGAGATCAATGCATGTATAGTGAAAGCCAGAGCGGCTTATGCCAATCTGGGCCATCTTTGGCGCCTTCGTGATGTTAGTCTGGCTGTAAAAGGTCGGATCTACAACGCGACGGTGAGAGCAGTTTTGCTCTATGTTTGTGAAACCTGGCCTCTTCAAGTTGAGGATATTAGACCACTCTCTATGTTCGATCATCGTTGTCTCTGAAGGATTGCTGACATCCAGTGACAACACCATGTTAGTAATGCAGAGGTTCGGCATCGTGTGTTCGGGCACAGAGACGATAATCCAGCTGGTGTCACCATCTTGAAACACCGACTTCGGTGGCTTGGACATGTTCTACGAATGTCGTCCCAGAGAATTTCTCGTCGTGCATTATATGCCGACTCTGGGACTGGTCGAAAAAAGCGGAGGTGGTCAGTATATGACATGGTGTCGTGGTATGAAAGAAAGCTGCAAAGGGCTGGCTTTTGTTGGTCCTTCACGACTCTCTGGCTGGGGTCCGAGAGACGGTGTAACGCAGTGGCTAGAGACGTTTTCAGATATGGCTCAGAATAGAAGCCAGTGGCGATCCTGCTGTAACCTTCTTTTACTTTCTTCATAAAAACTGGTTGTATCTTCCTTAACTGAAAGATTTCTTCTGATTGTATCTTCCGTTTCTTCCATTATTGTTCTTTTTTTTATAACTCCCTACGTTCATCACATTTTTTTCCTTCTCTTTAAATTCTCATTGTTTTGTGTGGCGCATATATATTTGGTGCCCCCTTGTACCAATATTTATGTGTTCAAGTAAAATAAAATAAAAACTAATGGTAAAGAATCTTCTGTCCATCAAAGCAAGTGAAAATTCGACTTACAAGGGAGAGATATTAAAGCATTTTCTGATTCAGCTAACCAATCATGCCCTCTGGTATCCTTCAGACATAAACGTCCTTTGAGTAATGAGACTAAATTGCCCATTGTACTTTCAGTAGTTCGTTTTGATTGGTCAAAGAGATCGGTTGAGGTTGTATGCGATTTATCTGGATGGGAATTACTGTGAAAGTCGCTTAGTGAACAAGAAACAACTGAGTTATCTGTATTTTCGTCCTCTAACTTTGATGTGTCACTGATCGAAAATACAGTCGGTTCACTATTTATACCAATAGCATGTAAACGGTCCATAATGTGTTTGATAAGTATGTCTTCCGAGACGGTAATGGTCATTCCTGTAACACCATCATTTATTGGCAAACTAATATAGATAGGGAAGTTGATACCCTGAGCAATGCTAGAATAGGATTAAATGGAAATCACCCGTAAAAATTCATATCAAATGACCATAACAATAAAAATTTATTAAATGATCCGAAACAAATTCTACAACGAATACTCTGTACTTGTATCCATACAATCACCACGATGTGTAGATTTATTTATTTAAATATTCGAGTACTAAGTTGCAATTATGAGCTCCTCTGATGTATTTATCCGATTCACATGATATAAAAAGTTACATAATTACTGGGTGGTACCACATAAGTGATAGAACAACTACTTAATAGTTTATCTAGATTGTAGTGTCTACTACGCCAAGCCCACATGGGATATTTTAGCTACCGGACAGACCGATTTGTTCATTTTTTGGAGCCACATTTTGACCTTGTTAATCATCCACTTATTAAGCTGATTGCTTTTATATGAGCGCGTTTGTGTGTATTGCTTATCCTAATGATCAACTGTCTATAATTTATTTTTGTCTGACTATATATATCGAGTCACACTTGATCAAATCGTGTTGGTTGACTCGCCTTCTCCACGTCGCTTAGCTTTCTCCACTTCATTTCTGATTGTCTGTCTGGATCAACGAGTGTACGAAATATACATATCCGAAATCCATCCTCATATTGGACTTATCTCATTCCGTTATTTACTAACGCGATTTAAGTCAATAAATATAGACGAGGGTAGCCGAGATGTATATTTCGATAACCTCATGGATAATATCATCATACCACTACAAAAGTAGTAAGCCTCACTTCTAAGTAAACACAACCCGCAAAACTACGCAGACGTTGAACATCTCGAACTCTACGCATCCGATAAACGGACTAAGTGGCTAACTTAATCGACGAGTAACTCAAACGACTCAATCTCTAATCTAATGCATTCAAGGAAGCCAGTACAGCAGCATAAAATTTTCCTGCTTGAAGTTATTATTTTATTTATTTTAACACATGGATATTGGTACAAGGAGGCACCAAATACATATGCACCACACGAATCTCAATTGATTCGTGTGAGGGCTGTGATACTGCCCGGGTGCTCAAACCGAAGAGTTTGGTCCATTTCTTCGTATTATTTTCACCTCATTATTACACGCATTCACGTGACTTAGGTCATTTTTATCTTACCGTACCACAAACTACAAGGTTATATCCAGATGATGATAGATCACTGATACAATAACAGCTCATTTTCTTTTGAAATGGTTGCTACAATCGTAGTGCACAAATTGATGAGGAGGTTGGAATCGAACTTTAAAGAAAACAAGTGTTTTAAGGTAGTTAAGAATGCCATAATAAAGTTTATTGATCAAATATATTTTGAGGTAACAATTAGTGATTACGTTTGATGCATTTACTTACTTGTCGCTTGTCCAGAGTACAGGAATCGGGAAACCTTCAGTCAGTTCATAAACAATCGGAGAGGCATACCTTGAGCGATCTACAGATTTGTTTGGTATATAATACTGTACGAACAGAAATAATACAGTGTTTCGAAAAGGAGAATTTGAGACAACGGTAGTGATTGTTACATTAATAATGTATATTATACTGAAGCTTATTTAGTTGAGATTTTCATTTAAACCAGGATTAATTACAGATGGACTGCCTGGACGTCAGATCGTTCTTTCTTAACAACATAAACATGAAAGCTGTTGAGTGTTTACCACTTCAGAAGCTGATTTTAAACTTGCTCCGCTTAATTCAGTTTGAAAAGCAAGATAATAATATTGGTCGGCATACAAAATAGATATATCGCTAGTGTCACTACTACTACTCCAGTTTCAATAATATGTATTGTACAATAAATGAAACATAGTAAGGGACAAAAGTAATATACATCTGAAAAACTCCGTCTTCTCTAAAATTATTAATCAAAACGACCAACAGTTTTAGGTTCAACGAATAAATTGTTTTCAATTTGAAGTGCATTCGTTTTGTCAGTAGTTCTCTAATTATCTAATAGACTGAGTTTGTTTTAATATGTTCGTCGATTGGTGTTCACCTAATAACTATTGGATTTTTTGTTACGATTGACTTGATTACAATGGATTTTAATAACGATTTACACCACAATTTACCTGACAACCTGGAAGAGGCGGACGCTCTTGTTCTAATGCTTCAACAATATTTTGACCGCAAGGTATTGTAGAAAGTGTTAACTCTAATAGAAGAAGTTGGGATTTATTAGATGTCCACGGCCAAACATAAACGCGTACCGAATATTTGTATACTTCTTGTATAGGCAAAATTAATGAAGCGAATGGATCAAAAGTGACTGATTTCCGTTGACAAGTAGGACAAATCACGGTGGATTTCAGCTGTCCGTGGAAAAGGTCTACAATGATAGAATCATTTCTTGACTTGTAATACTCCCAGGCTTCATTTGCAACCTCCTTGTGTAGATGCAGGCATAAAATTTGAAGAGAGTAAAAGGTGAATTAAAACAGCAGATGATTAATTAAACGAATAAAAGTTTTAGAGTCTACTTTGTATTTTTATAGATATGTTATTCTTTTGTGAATTAATCAACTTGTTACTTTCAAATTCCGATTAAACTAATTCACATTGAATGTAATTCATATCACAGAATGACTAATGGTGCACAACTATCGTAAACTACGGAGGACTAGGAAGTTTTTTTCAGCATGAGATTCCACAATCTATACAAGTCGGACAATTCAACATCATGAAGACCCTCTAGCTTGAAGTTCCTAGATCTAGTTTCGCCAGGATTAATCAAAAGGATCTTAGTTTTTTGCTTTTAATCTTGATGTGGGGGGGGGGTTCCCCATAGTTTATGGTTAATAGACTTGGTTTTGAGGTTACATGAATTGTTAACCAATAAAATAAAACGTTACATTTCGAGTAACTGGGGCGCTTTATGTACATAGATAGTCTAACCTCTAGTCTAGATCAACTTTAAATAGGGATTTTAAGATTACGAAGTGTGGAATTTGTATTGAATGCTTGAAATATTAAAGCATCATTGAAGGCGTTAATCACTCCGATTGTTCAAAAATCAGATGTATATTTTCTATGTCTGATATGTGAGTCAAATTGTGAAGAACGACTTCAATTAACCAACTGTTAGTCAAAGAAATTGCTTAGAGAACGTACAAACTAGGAGAAAATCATGAGACAAACGATCCGACGGATCTGCTGCAAGGACTGGTAAGAGTTGCCACATAATCACCACACTAATCGCAGAGTATTTATTATTTTATTTTAACACAGATATTGGTACAAGGAGGCACCAAATACATATGCGCCACACAAATCTCATTTGTATGTGTGAGGGCTGTGATACTGCCCGGGTGCCCAAACCGAAGCAGAGTAAGACTTAAGAATAGAAAGTGAAAACTATAATCAATAAACGAAACATGGTGGTGGAATAAACTTACAATATCCGGTCTACCATCGGAATCTTTCACTTCGATATAAGGCTTGGAGTGTATTCTATTCAAGTCCTCATGAAGTCCATCCAATAAGAATACAAGTAGTTCATGAGTGTCATGTTGAGCATATCCAGAAAACTGACGAGCAATACGTGCAATTTCAATCTAAGATTTCAAGTACAAATCAATATATATATATATATATATATATATATATATATATATATTGAAAACTGAGACAATAGGAATTATAAAGATGTTTATTAAAGTCTTGTAGTCGTTCAAGAGAAAAAAGAGACCATTCTTTACAGAATACAACACAAAGATGTATTCATTCAAAAAAGAATATGAACATCACAATAGACAACGAAATATGATAACATTTAATGGTAGTAAATCAAGACTGATCTTTTGATTCAAATGGTGACAAGAAGATTGTGAGTAAATTGAGACTAGTTGAAAGTAACTTGAAAGCCATTAACCAGAAACTACAGATCATTGCCAAACTTCAATGACAAAATCGTTTGCTTATTAATAAGATCGTATAGAAAATTAAGTAGATCCAAAATGATTGGTAGTTAAAATAATATTAACTTAGTTATTACAAATCACATTAGATGGTTAAGTAAACATTATATCACAAGCTACAGTTTCGGATGAAACATGTAGCATTTAAAAAAGAAGTAATGCTCTAACAAGAAGGGATGAATCATGAGGACAATAATAAATGATTATTAAAATTTGTTAAAAAAGACTGGAACCAGATGAAATATTCAGAGATAACTGCATAAACATGATACTAAAGTGTATATTTGAGGGGTTTCGTTACTTTTGCAACTGCGAATTCTTATTGTTATTAGTTTGCATATTTGCACAGAAAATTATTTAAAGAAAAACCACATGACCATTAATTAATAAACTTTACTTTGAATAGCATATCAGTGAGACTAGGGAAACAGATGTTATTTAATTATGATGTATAGCGTAAAGTTGGATAAAAGCCTAAGGAGATGAATTTGAAAAACCTAATTTATACAACGTTGAGAATTAACAAAATCATAAACTCATTCCAAACAACCACTGGTTGGTGATAGAAATACGTAACTAAAATTAAGTTTAAATAAACATATTAAAACATTCTAGACAATAATAATATAGAAGCCATACAACAAATAGATATCAAATACATACCTTAAACTCACGAGGCACAGCATATGCTCGCGTCCCCGACCAAAGCTGCTTAATAAGATCTGCGTAAGCAGTAGCAATTCTTCCTTGAGATCCAAGTGGATTACGTATATTTAGTTCTGACTTCCATTTACCACTCAGGAAGTAACTGGTTAATGCAGGAACATTGGACATACACTGAAGAGCACTATTCATAAAACAGGTATTCCCCAAGTTATTGAGGCCACAAACTCCTGGTACTAAAGGTGGACCAGACCCATGTAACGACAGCACCTGAGATTCAGGTTGAGATCCTATAGAGTCATTGGACTTCAAACGTGAACTATTTACGCATATGCTACATTCAAAGAAGAATAGTGTTGATACAATAGAGTAACAAACGTGAGATACTCATTTATTAAGTAATAAATAAGGCTAGTTATTTAGACTAATATGAACTAATAATATATATTTAAAAAAGTCTATCTTTACTGCACTAAGCGTAACAACCTTAAATTAAATGCATCATCTGTCCTGAACTCTAAAATAAAACATTCAGACACTTAACTGCTTAATCACTTTATATTTGGATAAGAGATAAAGCTAAATTCCTATCAGCATATTTAAAAAATCAATATGTTCACTAAGGTGCAATAGGCCTGATACATACATTTTACAGTTACTTAACTAATGATTGCGAAATCTGATGAACCGAATAGCTTATTAGTATTAGTTACAAAACCAGTAATCAGTAACTTGTAAACAATACTAATTTACTGTCAGTGGGTCAATTTTAAGTAACAAATTAATAATAAAGGAAAGTCAGGAGGGTTAAAATCATATATAAAGCAGGATAAGAAAAAATTGTTTTAGTACTTACTCACTGCGTATTCCATTTTTAGGTTCCAGCTGAACAAAAATAACCTGAGAAAAAAAACCCAAGACTCATAAGCATAAGTTACCTGACTAATATACAAGCATTTTACAGCCGTTGGAATAACGGTTTACTATGAGCCTTAATGACATAGTAAATACCCATTTTTGTAGACCATAAGAAATAAAAGCTGTTGTCGAATCCAAGATCATAACCAATAAGTCAATAGGGAGTTTTGTGAAGTAGTTTGATGGCTGGTAATTTGCAACTAGATTTGTGACTTATTATTACTGTGCAAAATCCCACACAAAACTTTGAAATCACTTAGTCGACGGTTTTGTTAAATTAGTAGTACTGTGAATCAAATAAACAGATCGGTGTATTTATTTCTAGTGTTCATGTTGCACAGTTACGTGACCAAGTATTATGCAATCATTCTTTTTGGTTAGAGGTAAAATAACTTATTGACTCTTGGCTTTAGATAAGCGAAAATGACTGAATTTTACATTTGGACCAACTATAGCTTCTCGTCTACTAGAGATAGTTTTGTACACATGTAGCAAGGCTTACGACTTGGGCTATATTTATTGGGTTAAAGCTATCGATAACATCTTGATATAAAAACATATGTAGGGCGGGTTTGGAACCCGTGACAAGCAGGATTAAAGCTGAGTCCAGTATGAGCCAGAGCTCTACACGGACAGTAGCAGTATAAATGACTGAGACGACAGGGCAGTCTACCGAAGAGTTGAGCAATATTTCAAAGTTTGGGAAAACAACAACACCCCAGTGGTGTACCTGACGCCCTCGTAAGGCCGAGGATAGGGAGAGTTAGCACTATATCTCGAAATGCTCTTACATGGCCACACGTATAAAGTCACTTCACGGAAGTCCTACTCACTGCCTTTTCGTGGCACGGGTGTTGTTTACTTAATTGAGAGGACGAAAAGCGAATGTCCAGTGCTTTGATCGGGTTGGTGGACACGGAGAGTCCACTTGGGGGAGTTAGAAAACCTTGATCCCAAACCAATGACGTTTATGGGCTCCAGTATCCTGCGGGAACAAATGGCATATGAACCAATTATTGGTCACGGGCTACCATGAGATTGTATCTCCTTACGTTGCTCCACTGCCTGGCGGATCAGACCTTTAGGTCAAAGGCTCCGAGTGTGGCCCCCTACAAAAACCGCCTGCCTAGGTTTGGGCACCCAGGCAGTATCCCAACCCTCACACAAATTAAATGAGATCTATGTGGCGCATATGTATCTGGTTCCCCTTTCTAACAATATTTGTGTTCAAATAAATAAGTGTACCTGACTAATATAACAGAAACCAACAGTGTACACCATTAGGTGGTCCGTAAATAGAAGGCAACAAATACACTTTGTCCTGTTTTTAGAAGTTAATTACATCATGTAAATGGTTTAACATAAACATCTTGATTGAGTTAAGATCACAACTTTGAATACTTGTTAGTTATTAATCAATCTGATCAGAGTTAGTCATTACTAAGATATTCTGAAACAAAACCAATGGTCACGATCTCTAAACAAACATAGATTTGATAAACTTATCTGCATTAACTGGAGGTCATTTTTCTTAATCCCAATAAAAGTACGTCAATCTAAAAGTCGACAGATAGTAACAGGTTTTACACGTTAAGATGAACATTATTGATAACGTTTATGGGGCTCCAGAAATCAGTTTCCGACTAGATCCCGAAAAACAATAAACGCTGAGGGTACATTGTCAAAGTAACTTCCTATTATGAAATGGAATTGCTAAGACCTGGAACGAACTTAACGCATTACAGATACTATTAAATATTCTGGTATTCCTGAAATAAATAGAAAACTAAAAGTTAAGGTGCTAACTACTTAAATTATTTCACGTTTGGGAATTGAATATATTGGTCTCTAAATTATGCTTTTTGTAACCACGATTACTAAGCGATGAGTGTTTCTGTTTTTTACACTCGGCATCAAATAACTGGGTGGTCATTTTTTTACAAGCAGCAAAAAGCTCACTGAAATTTTACTTTTTCACGCTCAAGGTTAGCTTCTTCTATGGTAGCATCTTCATCTTCCAGTTCTTCGAATTCGTTTTGTTCATTGTGTATTGATAGGTGAACACTCACGCCAGGTGCTACTTTAAGGTGTTGCGCGACTATCAGCTTTAGTTCTCCTGAAAAGTAATTAAGGGAAACCACCACATACTTATTGTCTGAAACTTGCAATATGTCCCTTCAAACAGGAAAGTGGCACTTGAATTTGGAGAATTTAGGTAGAATGAGTAGTGAGGCGGATATATTTCGATTTCCGCTGACTTAGGAGCTTGAATGGCACGCCGTTCGAAGACTGAAATGTCTGTGTGCGTACAGCCATAAAAATCCACAAACAGCTTCCACACATTCCTAGGTATTAACGTGATGTCATTTTCTAAGAGCAAGTTCTCTTTTAATTTTCCATCACCTACATTAATATAAAACATATATAGACAAAATCCTACATAAAATATCACTGTTATCAACTTTTCCTGGATACTCTTCCGAGGTTTCGTCCACCATCCCACTTTTGGAAACCGAGTCGACAAATTCCTCCCACTTCGTCCACCAGTTAAGAGACAGGATATACCTAGAATGGACAATGGAGCGAAGCTAAAAGCGTTACCATAAGTCTCCTTTTGTTATATCAACATTCATTAACTCATCGACTTTGGCTTTTTGAGTAGCGAAAGTGGCGGCACTTATGCAGTTTCTGAAAACAGGAGTAAATGAAACGTTTACAGGCTTTTGGGGAACAAATTTACAGGTAAACGGTAGATTTTATACACACATCACAGACTTACTGTGAAACCATTCCTAACCGCAACTTTTTTAAAACAAGCGGTGAAAGTTGCAACGCTCATCATTACTTAACAGAAACAAAGTCGCCGTGAGCATACAGAGGTATCTGCTCATGGCTCCAAAAGTGACGTCATTTTTGATTTTCAATAATATATTTCTTATGAAGCCATTACTTACGTATTCGCAACACATATGTTCGCTTCGTTGTTGTACGAAGTTTGAAGTTTACTTCGTGAGCTCTGTTCAGTAGAGATATACTCAACGTTGTCAAATCAACTATGTATATCTTAGACCTAAACCCAGGTCGTGTTTACGTTCATCTAGTCAATAAATACTACGTATCATAACGTAAATTTTATTAAGAAATTTGATTATACTATGAATTTTGCTGACCGCAATTTTTGTTTGCCATATCAGACTGCGTTAGACTGGACACATGTACCGCACGCTACAATGGCACCCTAGGTTGAAGAAAAATTAATAATAGTCGTAGTTGCTTTAAAATAGTCCGTCGGGAAATGTGATTTCCACGTAAGATCTTATAGATTAGGCAGTTACATCATAACAAATCTACTATTTTAGGATTAGGTCTATGATTAGAGCAGTGCTAATATCATAGTAGACCATAATTCTACAATGCTTCCTCAGTTTAGCGTAGTTGTTTGTTGTATTATTTAGTCTATTATAAGCAATTACAATATTTGAAAGGAAGGAGTGAACGTCATAAGTTTGGTAAATAGAGTCATTTAATTTCTCATTTCGGTTAATGTCGTTAGGTGTTGAAATTTAAAAACGATTAGTAGAGTAATTAGCCCACATGAATTGGAGTCGAGAGCTTAGGACTTGTGCAATACAATATCATTACTATCCCCTCGCAGTAATAAATTATAAATCAGGCAGCAGTGAAAAAGACTCATCATAATAAGCGGAGCTATTCTGAAAACGAGAGCAGACCTCTTGCAACTTCCATGTCAGTCTGCTTTAAACGAGAACATAAATCCATATCAGTACGACCACAAAAAAGAAGTATCTTGGGAACAACTGTGGTCCCGATTTATTTTCATCACAGATAAGACGGATGCTGCCCAATATATTATGAATGTTTCCGTGCATGTGTGTCCGTCATGATTAATCTGAATCTTTCTGCTATCCACCCACATTTTCCTTCTTTTCTTTGTTTGTCCAAGGAAAACCAATTGGAGATATACGTCCTCTGATACCCATAACGACTATTTGAAAGAACTGATGCTTAATGCAATCAGATAAACAAAACAATTTTACTTACTTTCCTTCGTTAGTTTTGCATTTCAAATTGATGCAACTAACTTCGGAATCACTCCTAGTTGTTGTCATCAGCATAGCCTCTTGCAGGCAATCATAACTTAATCTCCTGAACCACGCATCATTTCTCACACACTTTTTATTGGAAGGCTGGTAGTGCACCATCTTGGGTGGAGTTACTATGTACCAGCTGACATCATACTGCACGCGAGACGTGACTTGACAGCCGGTAAGCTATGGTCGATAAAGATGTGATCATGATGACCGTTATTTACCTTTTTACTCTCAAAATATGGCCCTCCGGTTTCCCTGTATGACCACAACAATGAACACACACAACATACTGTGTCATCTGATAACATCACATGGTATATTATGTAGCATACCTTCTTCTATAGATCTACAACAGTCTTAAATTGTCACAAGCTGTCAGGTGCATAGGTCATATATGTATATATATATATATATATATATATATCACTGGTATCCACAAAAGCTAGACACTCAGCAATAATTTGACTCAACTAGTTGTTATTCATAATAATTTAGAGGATGGTATTCCGGAGTTCGTTTTTCTTCATAGTTGTTCATACCATCAAACGCAGCACTTAAGAGCGAGTAGGCGGTCAGTTAGAAAGTTCTAGGCGGCAGGAATATCGGTTTGAGTTTAGAAAAACCCTCGTCATAACATTTGTGGTGTATAACAGACGTTTTTGTTCGTCATCTACGATGATCACTTATGGATGCAGGTGGTAGAATTTTCTGGAAGAGTTTTTGTGTTGACAGAATATTTGGGGCCTAGATAAGACAGGATATTCCGCAACTTATGGATAACTTCTTATAGACGTTGTTGTACCAACACCAGCAAGGGTTATTTGTATTTTGTGGTCTGCAAGTAGATCTATGCGACATCATACGAGTAAGCAAAGTTGGAATCTCACAAATGCAGGTGATGTACACTCATCGCATTCACGATTAGACTAAAGGAAATCGTAGTGAATGTTGGAAGCATCTAAATTTTGATTTGAGGTGCCCGTCCGTTCTGACTGGCTGACCTAAAAATGACTGATGCATATCAATGTGGTCAAGTGTGTCTGCATGAACTTTAAGGATACATAAATGAATAGGTGAAGCATAGAAGAAGAATCAGTACCTCTATACCGGTCCCACAATGATCTTGAAGCAACAGCAAATCACGATCTAGAGAACAGAGACGAAGTTTGGAACAATATATTTACTACAATATACATAAGCTTGGTGAAATTCAAACCTGAAATCTAAGCTCAGGCTGAAAACCCCCTTTTAAAAGGTGACCCAGATATCTTGAATGAAGTACAGAAGTTAGTTGTCAGTGAAAATTCAGAATTTCGGGGTTTACCATAGAGTGGGCGGTTTGAGAAGCTAGATCTCTTTGCTCTGTCTTACCACGGATTAAGAAGTGATCTGATTTTGATGTATAGAATTCTAGAAAATGATTTCGAAAGCCAAGGCCAAACAAACCACCCATTGCGTATACTCTCAGAGGCTCGCTAGAGATGCATAAACGAGGGGCGTACGCCTTCTGACTTCAACACACAAATTTGAATCTTGTTTTGAGTAAAAATCTTCACAATATTCATTAAATATGTTAAAACAACACAGTAAAAATTAGAGTGAATAAAATTTATGATGATTAGAATAATTCAAATTACTGTATTAACTAGGAATCTTCGGCATAGCTCAACTTAAGCTAAACAGAACTAGGTAAGCAAATACAGACACGAACGTTATAACCTCCAACCCCTCGCAAGTAAGAAGACGAAAGACGTTTGTGAGCACTTATTGACAAGAATCAAAATATACAATAAAACATGCGTATTTATACAAAATTATATATAATCAATTTTGTCATTTACATTTTTAAACATTCATCAATAAGTTCATCAATTGACTGCTATTCAAATATTTAACATTTGATCTACAAGTTAATCGATAACTTACTCAATCGACTATGTACGTAATGGCTTCTCAGTGGCCATGACAAAACCTCCACCGAAAAAGACATTTACCTTCGGTGCAATTGCAGTCAGACGAATGGATTGTGTATGGTTCGGAGTGCTTCTGTAACAGGTTAAAAATCTAAAGATAAATTGGCTAGTTGATCCCTCGTCTCCCCCTTTCAGTAAAGCTCTTTTGAAGGTGTCAACGAAGCGTTCTGCTTGTCCTTTGGATCGGGAGTGGAAAGGTGGGGACCGTAGATGCGTTATGCCGTTTGAACTGCAGAATCTCTTGAATGAGTCCGCAACAAATTGTGATCCATTATCAGTTACCAAGGTTTCTGGCACTCCAAAACAACTAAATAAGGTAGACAGCTTGTAAATAGTTTCCGAGGCTGTGCAGTTCGGCATGCTGTATATTTCTGACCATTTCGTATATGCATCCACAATAAGTAAGAACATTTTTCCTTGGATTGAGCCAGCGAAATCTACATGAATTTTCTCCGAAGGTCCAGTAGGTTTTTGCCATGGTTGAGGTTCACATTTCGAAGGGTTTTTTGCAGCATAAGGCACAGGTCTTTTTGGTCAAAAAACAGGAATAGATGTTGACTTGAGAGTCAGTAGTGCTTTGGCTTTCGTGCATTCGCCCAAGCCTTCTGAAAACACGTGATGATGCCTTTTTATAATGGCATTTCTCTGACTTGACTCTAAAGGGTTATTGATTCTGACTTGGCTGCAGATATTGTTTAGAGGATGATCTGCCGATTTTAATGCATCTATTAGATCCAACCCCAATAAATCGAGTTCCGGGTTCTTGGTTAAGTAAACAGTTGCACTCGTTGTTGCCTCGTTTTTCGAAACATTGCACGTTATTTCCCCAACATTATTAAGCTTACCTCCAGATGCGCTGTGCGCTAGTTGCTTCGTTCGGTGAACTGTAGGTCTCCCAATTTTCTCCCAAGTTTTTGGACTGATTAGGGTGATATCAGATGCTGTGTCAAGTTGAAGACGGACACGGTATGCATTCATGTCCACGGTCACATACTTTCTTCGGCGGTGAATTCTTGTTTGGTTATTCTGACCTTGGCAGCGTCATCCAGTTTGTTGAGGTCGACCTTGAACAAATCTTCATACTTCTTGAACCAAGACTCGAAAGTCACACCAGCTAGGCCATCAAAATGAAATTCCTGAATGGAATTAATTATCGAGTCTGTATGCGTATTACATGAATCATCAGTAAGACCTCTGTTATTCAGATTCATTTGTTTCGCTAATATCTCCAGCATACGCTCCTGGAACTGTTCATATCGTTTTCCTTGCCGTTCCAGCAAAGATTCTATTTGTTTAAAGGTAATTGGCATTGTTGATTGTAAAACCCGTCGCCACTGTTAAGTTCTCTCCCTAGTGATTACTTGGCTAGTTGGCCCCTCGTCTCCCCCTTTCAGTAAAGCTCTTTTGAAGGTGTCAACGAAGCGTTCTGCTTGTCCTTTGGATCGGGAGTGGAAAGGTGGGGACCGTAGATGCGTTATGCCGTTTGAACTGCAGAATCTCTTGAATGAGTCCGCAACAAATTGTGATCCATTATCAGTTACCAAGGTTTCTGGCACTCCAAAACAACTAAATAAGGTAGACAGCTTGTAAATAGTTTCCGAGGCTGTGCAGTTCGGCATGCTGTATATTTCTGACCATTTCGTATATGCATCCACAATAATTAAGAACATTTTTCTTTGGGTCCACTTGTAGTTTTACGACTGGGTTGCAACGGCGTTCAGTTCTGGTGGTAATTT